GCGGAGGTGACGGAGGCGCCGGCGATCGCCGCTTTCTTGCCGATGCCGAGCACGGTGGACCCCACGGATCGCCATGGCCTTTCTCTTTCGGGTTCGCTGTCTCCGTCTCCTCCTCCTCCTCCTCCTCGATTTTGTTCTTCGTTCTCTCGTTTTTTATTTTGGGTTGGATTATTAGCCATTGCCTTTTTTTTTATTTTTTTTGGGTGCGGGTGAGTCGAGGGAGGGATCAGGAAGGCGTCGGAGAGATGGAGGGAGGCGAGGGCAGGTGGCGAGCAGAGGAGCGCCGTGGCCACGTGGCGACTTGCGAACAGCAACAGGTTTTGCGATGATTTCTTTAGGAATTAATGAAGGATTTGGGGAAATAACAAAAGGTTTTTTTCTTTTTTTTAATTTCCCTGATCTCGATAGGTGATGAGGATTAATTATCAGGCATTAATTGTCTCATACTGCATCCTTCGAAATTTTGGGTCTTAGTTCGTTTGAGCTTATTATTTGAAAATTAAAACGCGCTACTAACAACAAGCGTCAGATGAGCTAGGTGCAAATGGGTTTAATTTGTGTTATGCAAGCTAAATTTGGCTTTCGGGTGCAATTTTTAAATTGCGGGGGCAAAATGTAATTTTTGAAGGCTCATAAATGTTGGTATTAAAAAATGGTTAGATCTGCCTCTAGGTGAAACAATACAAACCCTAAGAACACCCTCGCAGGTTAGTGATGTGTTCTGATACATAAATTGGTAGTTGAAACCTATAAATTAATATTTCTATGTCCTTCGAATAGATGGTTCAAAATTCAGAATGTGCCACCCTTGTTATATGGAGTGTGTTCCGGTCAAATTTATAGTAGCTCAAGATAATATCAACAAAATATTAAATCTCAGCTGTTCTATAGGGGTTCTCAAATTGCTATCAGTAAGTACATAATTTAATTTTTCATTGTCGGAAATACTTTGAAAATGCAACCAAACATAGAAGGATATGTATGCTATGGAGCCCACCAGCTTGAATCGGCCGCTTTTATTTCTGTTCTGATAGATGATAGATCAACTTTGTTATGTCTAGTAGTACAAGAATAGTACAACTATTGTAGTACACTTATCATTTTCCCTTCTAAAGGTACAAGGGGATGAGACTGTAGCACTACATCCAACTAACAAAAAATAGACCTCTCCTTTGCGTACGTACTCAAAGGAGGGGGGGGGGGGGGGGGGTGTTCTTTGGTTATTTCTAAATTTTCCGTATGATATCAGTCTCTTTGTAAAGCATCTACAACCCAGAAACAACACAAACACAAATATCACATCGTGAAAGAAAACACAACTTTATTCATATCATATTAACAATCATTCAGCATAAAACATCGCAATACAAGTTACAGATACATGGCTTCATGGAAAAAGCTCATACATTCTTCTTCACAAATTAAGGAACAAATACGATAAACAACCAACATCTTAATTAGAGCTCATCTTTTCCACTAATCTTAGGATTAGCAGAGGTCTTGATGGGGAAAGATGCCTCCATGGCAATCCCGCAGAGCCCACGCTTGTCCTTGATCCCTCTCTCCATCCTAACGTATCCCTTCTCTCCCCAGCTCTCTCCCCACGAGTTCTTCACTATCCAATACTTGGTTCCGTCGCGTGTTGCCCCGTAACCTACGAGCCCAACGCCGTGGTCTAGCTCAGTTCCACAGTCGCCAGTGAAAACACCCTGCAATGTGAAATTCAAAGTGGTTGAACTTTCAGCCAAGTGACATGTCAAGGACTTGGGGAAAAACTACGAATGTACCTAAAACATGTCATGCAATATGCCTCTCTGTAGAAAACGATATCCCTCTCGCGTGACCGATTTTGAAGTTCAACTGATTTGTGCATTGGTTCTGGTGCTGATTTTTAGTTGCTTGTGCTGTTTTGCTGTTTATCCTGATTTTACTATTTTTCACTTATTTTTAACTTTCATCCTGATCTCGGGTATTAATGTTTCATTGTTCTGTTTGAGCTTATTCTTTTACATCTTTTCGTCGACCTTTAGATTTTTGGCTGGCGTCATGCATTGTTCACACTCGTTTTGTGGTCTGTTTGCCCTGATTTTTAAGTATCTGTACCAACTTTTATAACAATTTGTGTACTATCTGCGCTGATTTAAATTTTTTTTTTTACTTTTATAACAATTTTGTGTACATTTTTAGCCAAAGTGTGAGATAAAACTAAACTGACCTCGGAGTAGAACTGGAACGCCATGCCACTCGCTTCGATAGCGATCGAAATAGGCTGGTTCGCCACAGCCTTCATGAGCGCAACTTCATCATTTGCAGGAACATCTTGGTGTCCATCAATTGTAACCACAGGAGATTTCTGCATAAAATTATCATCACACATTATAAAATTCCTATGATTTCATAACTTAATACGATTCCGAATAAATTTTTTGAAATTTTACCTCAGAGCAAGTTTCTTGTTCCTCCATGTAAGGATAAGACTCCTCAGAAGTTAATCCACCGTTCTTCTGAACGTAGTCGTAGGCATAGTCCATGAGGCCGCCGTTACATCCCTGGTTGTAGCTGGTATCACAGTCGATGAGCTGTTGCTCCGATAGTGAAACGAGCTCGTTGGTCTTGATCTTGTTGATTCCTTCTACTCCGACCACTGTGGAGAATGCCCAGCAGCTCCCTGCACCGAAACAAACGAAATGGTCAACTCTTTTTATCCTCTTCAACTTGTAGAAAATTGCAACGGTTGTGTTTTCAACTCAAAAGGTCAGACTGAGTAAAGCGAAATATCACGTGTTTAAAGTTTAGTGTGCCACTGTATAAAATTACAAGGCCTAAAACAGAATTCATCTTTCAGGAGGTCTAAAAGATGTCTTTTTCCCTAGAAAAACAAAATGAAAACAGAAAACACCTTTTTGTTTTAATAAATTCAGACTCGCCTTATTTTCTCGAAAAGACAGAAAACTTGTTGCTCACCACATTGGCCTTGATCCTTGATCCCAGTAACTGCACCCTTCGCCCTCCAGTCCACTGAAGCAGGAAGACTACGGACATTTTCGTACACAAAGCTGCCAACATCCTTCGAACTCCCTCGTTGCGTCCTATGATGCTGGATCTTAGAACCCGCGTAGGTGCTTTTGAATTCTTGATTGGTCATGTCCCCAAACTTATTGAGCGCAAGCTTGTACGGCTTGTCCTTGTTCTTGTTGAATTCATGGATGAACTTGACGTTCTCCTTGAACACGTTGAACCTCTTGTGCTTCTGGTCGAGGTCTCTAGTCACAGTGTGGTGGCTCCTCCATTTCTCGTACAAGCTCCACAGGCTCTCCTCGGACGCCAAGTCCTTTTCATCGAAGGGAATGCTTTGAACAACTGTGACTAGAGCTAGAGCTAGAGCTAGTGCGAGAGCAAGGGACGAAGACTTAGTCATTCTGATGAGATGAAAGGTTCAGAACCATGGTGGTGGATTTATAGGGAGGGGATTGAGAGAGAGAGAGAGAGAGACTTGTGCACTCAGAAGCAAAAAATTGGGAGGAATTTTGACGGATGGAAACAGAGTTAGTGTTGCTTGTGGGGATCAACTGGTGAAAGGGACTAGCTAGGAGAATTTGGCAAGGAAACTGAACTTGTTAAGGAATCTGTTCGGTATCTTAATGAAACTATAATTGAACACCGCGGAGTCATCATGCACTATTTTTTTAAAGGAAAAAAAAATATACAATAATGTGCGACAAACAGACTATGTCACGTGCTAGCAAGAAGTATGCATACGTACGTTGTTATTAATGTGAGAGCCATAATGATGATTAGTCAGTGAGAGATTACAGAGGGCGCCAGCTTTAGATTGTGTGTTTGTTAATCTCTTTGCCTTTGCCAGATTCAGGAGCTAACATATGGCCAACACGCTAGATATAATGGCTCAAATGCGACAGTGTCGGGTCTACGAGAGGTAAGGGCAATATCATGATAGCTCACATGAAAAGTTCTCATAAACAGATGCATCAATATAAATAAATGACATAAATTATGATATATACAATTTTGATTTGGTTTCTATTTTCTTAACATGCACGAAATGCTATAATGGCCCTGCTAACAAACACGGCTCGGTAAAGGAAAACAACTTCCTCTGTGTAAAAAAGAAAATAGTAAATGTAAAACAAGAAAAAATTAAAAAAAAAACAATAAAATGAATCCCCGTAATTTGCATGAAAAATATACGCAACTCGGGCTCATTGCAATTGTTCTTGTGATCCCTTTCTGTTTCCAAACCTTCCGTCACTTCTACAAGCCCTTTAGAATCTTCAATATCCGCCAGAGCCTGAGCCTATCTGATTCCACATGACGAGTTGCTCATTTCAATATCCAATGAAGTAACGTCTGATGAGAAGCCAGCATCGCAGAAATATCTCTCTCTCATCCACACTAAGAACACCTTTTTCCCCTGAAAAATCAGCGTCGCTCGATTTAGTTGGCGCTGATATTTCAATATCATGCTGAAACATTGAGAATGTGTGAGCATCATATTTAACTTCTCCGGATTTGTCCATGGGTTATATGAGAACTTAAAACTTGTCCCATGCAATAGCATTAGGGAATGAGCCAAACAATGTTACATGAACAAATTTATATATATTTTGAGGAAGTTCTACAAACTGACTTGCATGTAAATCAATTTTTGTACAATTTTGATAGGTTGTAATAACACAAATAATACATAAGAATTAGTTTTCATGAGGCGCCTAGATTACCTAGAAGGAAAGAATAATAGTTTAACTTCTGAAATAAATGGAATATATTAAAATAACTTTCAGTTATTTTTCTTAAACTATCGCTTCTGACTTAGAAACTGCAAGAACTTTCAGCTATATTCAATCTATCAAAAGAATAATTTATATCAGCGCTTGTTGATTATCAGTATAGTTTCCATTCATGTAAGTACTGAGAGGAACTTACACGGCAGAGAACATACAGCTAATACTTTCAAATTGACTATCATATGACATGGAGGTTTAAAAAAATCAAATCCTACCACGTAACGAGATGAAAAATTCCTCTCTCTGAAAGCCAACTGGAGTTAGGAGGTACATAAGCAATGTCTGTCCTTTATCCATCCTTTGCTACATCATTCATCTCCTGTTCCAAAGATTAAGAAGCTCAAAGTTGAACATTGAATTCTGTTATATGCTACAAAGTTGCACATGCATAACTAACTCCTAATGTTTTCAGAAAGAATCAAAATTAAAAAAATAAAAATTATTATAGTAGACCATTGATGATAAATAATGAACATATTTGGAAAACGAAAAAATTTTCAAACAATAAATTGCAAACCTCCTATTTACAAAATTTTTAAATCTTGCAAATTAGACGAACAACAACAGTGCTAATGACTCTATTATGGCACATAAATTTGTTATAAGAATCAACACAATCAGATGACAATATTTTCAAAATTTTCGCTTCACACTATACTAAAGGGAATATAACTCTAAGATAGCTGAGTTGAAATATATACATTCACAATCCAGAATAATAAGTTCAAGGTCAACTTGAGCTAAACAGCAAACAAAATTCAGAAGTACAAAACATGTTCACCCTATGAAATGGAAAGTTTTATATAAAAATTAAAGGTTGGACAATGAAACACATTATCTTAAAATACTTAATGTCAGTTGTAGACTACAGAAAACTGTCGCTCTAAGATGAAAATATATTTTTGTTATCTAGAACAATATAGTATTCAAGCCGACCACAAGAAAAACACAACTAGTAATCTCAAGCTTACGTGTTCATGCTCCGAAGGGAGAGATCCTCCCTCAAAGTTTGTTGTAGTACCTGTTATTGATTTAATAATTCCAGTGTAAACAGCATCTGGAGCGAAATTCTGCAGTAAAATATCTCTCATTAGTCTCCATACCCAAATTAATACTTTACCCTAAATCTAATCCAGATTATAGGAATAAAATTGGAGAACAAAATATTACGGTTTGATTAGGAGTATCAGCCATTTTGTCATGATATATTGAACTCCTTCGACTTGGTTGCTTTAATTTATGCAAAGACCCAACTCCACACAAAGGAACTGGAAGCAAACCATCATGCCTTTTACTACTGCGTTTCATATTCAAATTGCTGCGGCCCCATGTGTAGTTGACATATTTCCTCAACTACAGTAGAAGGATATGATTAAATCAGTACAAAACATTTCATGTTAAATTGAAAAAATACATTCGTAAATAAATATTCCTGCTAGGCACTAAACTGTATCCCAACGCCGTTGAGCACGTCTCTGACTTCTAATGCTTCTCATAATAGTATCTTCATTGCGAAGCTTCTTGAATCTGGCCTCACACTATAGTATAAATGGGTTAGATCCCACACCATGAATAGAAGTATATGCAGATAAATATCAATTCAATTGTAATCATTAAAAGCAACTACCAATTACTGACACAGAATTCCAAGAACAAAAAAGAAATGGGAATACAACAAAAAAAATACTAGCTGGCATATATGCAATACCAATAATGGATTGAGCCATCAAATGCATGCACAAAGATTTACTGTAAAAATCATTGAACTGCATAGACTACTACTGTGGTTAGTGCAAGGAGGGTGCAACTACATTTCTTAGTCAAGCAGTCTAAAACTCAAGCAACTAAGGAGCGGTTCAAGGTTTTGCTAGATCTAGAAACAAATTAAAGCAAAGATGAATAATGACATGACTTTCGGTAGGTACTCATGTACCATCTTTGAGGTGTAAAATTAAACAAGGAAAGGGTCAATTGATCATCTTTCAAGTGTGAAGTCACAACCATTCTATTAAGCATAGAAGTGTTGGTTAATGATTATCCACAAGTTTAGCCCTATACATAATTGCCACTGTGCTTAAGTAATGAGCGTGAGATGCTGAAAGGATAATGAACAAATTCCTGGAACAAGTACAATCCCGTAGATGTCACAGTATCCAGTTAAAACAAATTCTAGATTCATGAAGTGCAGCAGACCTTTAATGGAGTTGAACAGAGAAGAGATTCTTGTAGCTGACCTCAAAGCTTCGGAGAATATATATATTTTTGGATAAGCCAAATGTCTTTCATAACCAAATTTAATTGAAAACGTAGCCATTACTTTCCAACAATCCAGTGAAAATGTGTAAATCATGATGATATCTTCCCCGTCTGAAGGAGATGGCGATGTACCATTAATTTCTTGAAAATATAACTGGGCAATTTAGGGGTAGAAGTGAACCAAATAATTAACAAATAGTTCGATAATTGTTCCAATAAATATTCGGTCATATTCGATTCGGTAGTTCATTTACCACTAAACAAATATTTTTTAGTATTCGAGTTTATTTACCACTAAACAAATATTTTTTAGTATTCGAGTTTACTAACGAATAGAATTTAACCAGATGTATATTCGATTTTCGAGTTTACTAACGAATAGAATTTAACCAGATGTATATTCGATTCGTTTGTCTATTAAATATTCGTTTGAACTTTGATCACAGCTTATTACTTATATTATTGTACATATGATGTCATATTTTTAACCCACATACCATTTATACTTAAGTTTTATATGTTGATTTTAAGACTTAAATAATCTTAAATTTGTTTTCTAATTAAAATTTTGATTTAAATATATATACATCATATATTATAAAGGAATAAATTTTATTTATGAATTCTAATAGTTTTGAAAATCAAATTCTTTAGCGAAATAAATACACTTTGATATTCGATAAGTATTCGTGAATATTCATGAATATTTATCAAATTCCAAGTATTCGAGTTCGAATTCGAAAAACTAGATATATGAATATTAGAGTCCACATTCGAATTCGATAATTTTAAACAAATACAAATACGAACACCTTATTATTCGATTCGATTCGATCGTTTACCACCCCAGTGGGCATGTGTGTCAAACATTTAACTGGATCTGTATGTCAAAAATATCATAATGCGACATTTCAATGAAATATTACAAGTAATAACTTACTTGTAGTAAGAAGTACAGAAAAATTGCAAGACTAATGGTATAAAGTCCACCAACATCTGCCAAGAAACTCACTGCACGCATTAGAGAAACCATAATTCATCAGAAATAGGAGATAAAGGACGATAACTAAAAACATGAAAAAGTCCAAAGTTTAAGTTGCCAGGACAATCTAGATATACATTATCAAAACACTATTTCACACTTTGAACCCAAATCATAATTATATATTTTTTTCCAAAAGAGAAAGAATGATTCATAGTCTTGTTGGAACTTAATACTTAGCAAACAATGCACCACATGAAGCTTTCAAATTGAGTATGCAGAAAGAAACGTGAAATATATTGTAAAGAAAATGGCAAATGCATTATTAGTAAATTTAACTAGCTGTACCTATTCCCACGATTTTTTGTTTGTCGACCTCCACAATGTAGTCAGAAAGATAGCTAATATACAATGTAGTATTAACTACTCCACCCTTAGAACTCTGAAGGGATGCTCGGAGGTCACCAACATCAGAAAAAGATGATCCAGGAAGAAAGTCATGCAACAGAGGCTGAATGAGCCTGAGATTATGCAAGTAGGTAAATTTCTGAGGAAACAAGTGAATTTTCAATATATTCATGTCTTGGCCCCTGAAAGTTTGTGGGCAATCATTTCTCGAGCTCCCTGATTTCAGTGTCCCACTAACAAAGCTCAAATGTCTATCATCACCATGGGCTTTCGCAGTAAGGTTGAACTGAAAACCAACTGCAGTAGCAGGATCATTTGCAAGGTCAACAAACTGCCATGAAATGTAGTGATCTTCACTGGGAACCTTACATCTGTTGCATTTAAAGGAAATTGTTGGCCCTCTACTCGTGTTGTAGCAAGAATAATTTGTATAACTTGCCAAAGGATGAACCCTGAAATAAATTGAACCAGGTGTTCCAATCACTAGTTTATCGAGACCACGCAAGTGAGAACAACTCATGCTAGAAATTGCGGTTATGTTGAATTCCATGTCATTGACAAATGAGAGCAAATCTGGTGCATTAGCTGGTCTGACCCTATGCACCTCGATACTTCGTCTGGTAATAACTTGATATAGCAACCTGGCAAAGACGAAAAGGATATCAATACTTCATGAAATAAAAGGACATATACAACAAAATTATAAACATCACTCACGCAGACAACAGGCCAACAAAGAGTATCCAGCTTGCTACAGAAAAAGTTCCTCCCAACTCTGTCTTCCTTTTCTTTACCACCTTGAGGTCCTCCTACATTTATATCAGCCAAACTTAAATATTTTTGAGGACAGCAATAAAACTTAAGAATTAAAAGTTGTGTGTCCTAAACTGCAATATGAGGTATGCAAAGATAATTCATTGGTTAGTTCTTAGTATTTAGTAATTTATGCAATGTTAAAAAAGAAAAGAAAAGGACGGACAAAGAACGTTATTGTGACTATTAGACTCATAGAGAAGAAGCATAGATACAAAAATACAATAACTTTACCAAGCCAAAACAATCATAACATATGACCAGTACAACTAGAAAATACCCTTCGAACCAAAACGGGAAAAAAATACAGAAACATTAAACATATCATCCGCACATTAGCAGCATCTCATAACACAAAAAACATACAGTCCTTTGAGCAGACCAAAGGATTCCGAATGTGTTCAACAAGTATAAGCTGTGATTTTTTTAGAAGTTAATCAAACTTGTGATGGTTTATTTTGGTTTAGCTAGTTTTTGTTAAGGTTATACATATATGTAAACAATTTTGTTCGATTTGAGCGACTACTATCTGGTTCTTTTCATTCCATATAACATGAAGGAATATTTAGACTGAAAATCCACAGTGTTATACCTGCTCTGCTAAGATACACACCAAGGCACATGAACAGAAAATATGAATAATTTTTTGACATGTTTACCTATGACCCATGTGACATTTTGTCGATGTGTCCTATCTTATCATATCCTAATTTCAGACAATTACCACATTGTTGTGTCAATAATTGGTCATATCATACCATCATGTCCATCTGCATCATAGTTTATTTCGCTCTATCCTACTTTTGCTTAGGCACTAATTAATTATAGCTAATTACCTGAGCAAATTTTTTTTAAAAGAATTGGACTGTGAAAACCACACCATGGTTAGGTATTGGCTTACATCTTGCCAATCAAGCCATCTTTAACTATGCTATGTCATACTAACAATTCCTCTTTTTGATAAATACATTACATAACGTCATTTTCATCAACCTTACTAAGGCCTTCTCCTCCACTTTTTAACCTTGTGCCTCTCTATGCAAGAACCTGAATCGATGCCATCTTTACATCGCCATAACCTTTTAGCATGCCCCTTTGACCACTTTGTTGTATTAAGGTAAGAATAAGATGCTTTCTTGCCGCAAAAATTGATCCACTTTATTGTAGCAGGAAAAGGATTCTTCCTCTATTCTTAAGATAACTTCTATTATTTTCCTGTAACTGGAATAGCTTCTAGAATTGCCAGCCGGATCACTGCTTTTTACTTATCCTCTCAGATAATTTTAGTTAAAAAATCTCTCATGTTACCTGCTTATGACATTTATTCCGTGAATGGCAACTCACATGCAAGAGCATCTAGAATTTCCTATCTTCAACATATTGCATAGAACAACCCTTAAATTAGGTAATCTATAACAAGGGAGTTAGAAGAGAACTCTTTTTTAGATGGGTATGTTATCAACAAAATTCTTACTCCTATTCCTATATAACATGCTAAAACAACAATTTCACCTTCAAATGACCCTTATGAAATCTTGTAACAAATCACAGACGCATACAATATAATAGCCAATTGTGGGTAAGAGAACTAAGTCATTTGAGACTTGAAAAATATGAAGGATATTTTGTTTCTCCTCAACTACTTTGTGGCTATTCTCATACTGCTCTTGTTAAATTTTATGTGTGACACATGAACTAGTTTTCGTACAATGCACAAATATAAGTGTGTGTGTGTGTGTATGTACATATATATATGTACATACATACATACATACATATATGTGTATACACACACACACACACACACACATATATATATATATATATATATAGAAAAAATGGATATGATGTGACAACGCATTTTACAAAATAAAACTATCAAGAGAGAGACGACTGTTGAGACCCTCCTTAATAGACACATTGCAGTTGGACCTCACCACTCATTTCTTTTGATAGCTCATTTTGCTAAATGAGATGACAGCTCATATTCAATAACCTCACGCCATGCCAATTACACCAACGACAAGCAAGAAACCTCACCACAAAATGTTTGGTAGCAAAACAATAATCAAGCCTACTAATCCACCACCTAAGCCGAAACCAAACGGTCTCCCCGCCATCCAATCTCCCAATCCTCACCACCAAGCAGAACACAAGCCACAGCAATATCGTCACCAGCGTTGCCCCAATCAGCTCCGTGGCCTGCGGCTGCCGTCAGCCTCCTCAGCGCATCCAACGGCAGCATCGAGTTCAAGAACGTGGGCCCATTGTGCTCCACGGCAGAATTCACCACCACAAAATCCCCTGCTGGCGCATCGAAAGCCACGCATGTGGTGTTTATTGTGAAATAATACCCAGGGTCGCATGCGCACAGGGTTGAATTGTACAGAAACGAGTTTGGTGGGCAAATTGGGGGTGGAGCCATTAGGGTTTGTGAAGGATTGTTCGCGGGTTTTAGATTGACTATGTTTTAGCATTAGATGATGGCATTGTTTTTTGGGTTTTCTTTTTTATTCTTTGCTTTATTCTTGCGCTTTGCTTTGTGTGGAGCTTTGTTTTCCACGTCCTTTTCTTTCTCCACTGTCTCCAGGATGGAGATGCTTCCAACATCAGGAATCAAATTTGGACAATTTGTAATTGAGATTTAATAAGTACGGAAAGTATTAAAATTCAAAATTAGGGTTTGTTTGGTGATTGAATCAAAAACAGTTTGATTACAAGAAGAGTACTAAATGATTATTATAACACAATATATACTGGAATTTAGAAGAGAATGAGAAGAAAAGATTACCTAAAGGAGAGAATGCACTCATCCCTTCGGATGGAAAGCAAAGAGCAAAGATTAGAACTTTGCAGAGAAAGTTTTGGAGGCAAAAGGAAACGGAAAAAGATTCCTTTTTCTTTTTCTTCTTTTTAATAAAAGAAGAATCTCGAGGTTGGCCGCATTGGGTCGAGCAGTCCATAAATATAATATCGGTTTTTCTATAGAGTGCGCACTCTATAAGAGAGGAGAGATAGAAAGAAATGAATGAAGAGATGATCCCAATGCAAATCAGGGGGCACCCTCCTCATTCATTTCTCTCTATCTCTCTCCTCTCTTATAGAGTGCCCAATGGCACTCTATAGAAAAA